CATTGTACAGTGGCATTAAGTGCCGAAATGTGCACCTCTGCCTACCCCTTCGGGGATAAAAAGGCGTGATGTTATGTTATGTATATAGATTCCTATTACACAACACACAACTAAGGTAAATAAATAATCCTCAAAAACCTATTCTAATTCACCAGCCTTTTCCTCACCTGTGTTTCAGTCAATCTAAGTGAGGAAGAGAATTCTGCTCTCTCGGCGATGCTCAGATACTGCTTGTCTCTGAACTTCTTCTCCAGCGCCAGGAGCTGTTGTGTGGTGAACGGCGTCCGTGGCTTGCGATTAGGCTTGTGTTTGCGAAGCTGACACCGAACCACTGGTGGACCGCTGGGTGCACCTGCTGGAAACAAGAAAGGGAATTTAGTTATATATTTTTATATCGTGTGGTATATGTGGCCATGGATGGCTGGCTGGATAACTGAATAAAATACATTTGTCGCCGTCTTTGCTCTTCTCCGTAATGCCGTAAGAGCTGCCTAAGTGACATTTAATAACACCTAGCTTCACCTAGCGTCACTGACGGACTGACTGACAGATTATTATTTATTTTGTATTTGTTGGCTACTTTTCAAAAGTACCAAATTGTGTTTTAATTGAAATAAATGCTTTGACTTTGACTTTGACCTTAGAAATTGGGCAGCAACTTTCTTTGATTTAAACTTGAACCCTTTAAATTACGATACCCTATTATGTAGTGTGGAGATTGCGGCAAACCATCTTATATAATGAGGCTTTATGTTAAGCAGCAGACTGTCATAGACTGTAGGGGATATTGATGATGAAATCACCCTGAAGCGTGTTTGGTTGACTAACCAATGATTACATATTAGCTATTCTACTGGTCAATAGACCTAATGTTACGTTATCGATAAATGTCCTGTAAAAGAGGTTGAAATCCCATTGAAATAACATTACAAAATAATATAATTACAATTTATGTTATTAGGCTTTAGCTCCATCTATTTTGGGTGTTTCATTAATGCACACGAAGTGTAAAGGCGACACTCAAAGTACGCGGGGGTTGCCAATCCTCTCAAGTTCTTTAGAGCCTACATTAAGTTACGTAGCAAAGAGTTAAACACATATCCATTGGTATCTACAATTACGCAATAACTAGAAGTGGCCCGCAGTTCACACCTATTGCAGCTCTCATTAACGATTGTTAACGACTGTTCCATTAACAAGATAATAATAACGCCTTATAAGTGAGTGAGAGGTTAACGTTCATGTTTCGAAAGTTACTGAGCCTAATTTTGTTTTGTTTCATGTTTGGCCATGTACTAAAATAATGTCTGTCTTTTAAGTTTGGGAGTGCTATGCTTCGGAACCATTGGACCGGCTCGACCGGAGTGGTACCACGGTCTTACAGACAACTGACGTGAAACAACGCTAGCGTTGTGTTTCGTTGTGTGAGTGGGTTACCGGAGGCCCAATTAACCATCCCCCCTCCCCAGTCACTCCAATCCCCGAATCCCTCACAATCCTCAAATTCCTAAATGCTAAAAGGCCGGTAAAGCACTTGTCACGCCTCTGGTGTTTTAGGTGTCCATAGGCGACGCCGATTGCTCACCATCAGGTGATCCGTCTGCTCGATTACTGGCTTATGCCATAAAAGAAATGTAATTTTGTTTTGTTTCATCGGACACTATCGGATACGACGAAAAAAAGCAAATGGATCAACTGACGGTAAGCTGGACGTCACCCATGACAACCACAACCCTAGGAGTTGAATTACAAGCGTGCTTTACCGCCTTTTGAAAGTTAAGGAATTGAGGATAGGTTAGCTTATGAATTGAGAAGAGCAGGAAAAACTAAATTGCTGTTAAATTTTGTGAAAATTAGTCCAATCTATGTTTCCAATTTCTATGAGCCAATTTCTCAATGCTCTGATAAATTTTAACTGCGGAATAACTTTCGTTACAATGACAATTCTTCCAAACTAAAAACTGTCAAATGTCAATTTTATTCAACAGTTAAGAATAAACTGATGATTGATAAATCGACCTTTATTGTAATGACTGACTTTAGAATCAGTGACATTGCGTTAATCGATTTGTAGGTTTCAAAATAAACAGTTAAAGTGTTGACCAGTAATAACGATACATGTGGTACGTTTAGTCATCTACAATTTCGGCAAAAAATCATAAAACTAAGTAGGTGTTACTAATTACCAAAATTTAACAACATCGGCATCCCCTAATATGGTCGGTGATACTAACTAATTATGGCACTCCATAAACAAACTGTTATAATAGGGGTAAGGAACTCGCCTTATAAGTAGTTATGTGAATCATAACTTAAAATCTTAGAGTTGGTAAGATTTCAAGACAATATTAGCCAAATCGGTTCAGCTGTTCTCGAATTTAAGCAGGTGTAACAAACGTAATATCATTTTTATTTATATAGATTAGATGAGGGTAACTGCTGGTGTGCTTTTAGTAATATATGAGCATGGAATTAAGAATCCTATACTCCTTAATTTAACTCTCAAAAAAGCTGAGCATAAGTTTCCTCTACCATCAAAAAGCTGGACTTTATTGAAGTAACTTAAATACCTACGTAAAAATTTGTGTATTCCCCTATGGCACAGACCTCAGAATTATACATTCGTTTGTTCAAAGTGCAACGTCTTTCGCTAGGTCATGAAGCAAAAGCGAAAACGAGAATTCCACGTCATTGTTTAGATAGAGTTTTCTCCCACTGTGTTTTTAAGGGGGGAGGCGGGAGGGAGTGTCAGACTCTTACTGACTAAAAACCGCCTCGTTCCTTCCTATTTCTGCACTTCGAGCCGGAGCCCCAGTAACCAGCGCGGTAGCGGAGTTTCGCCCCGGTGACGTGTCTCCGGGCGCAGACAAAATACACGCACGAGCATCTTCGCCTCCAGATCCTACAACGTTCCTTCATTGTTGACTTATTTCATTAGAGCATTTACGCGTTATATTAATGTAGGTATCGCTAATAATCAGCAAAAACCGTTTTTTCCATATTATCATAACAACTAAGGTTTTTCCAATATAGTGGGAGTTTTTGCAAACCCAAAACCCACGTATTAACACGTATCTATAACTGATTATCGTGGTTTATTCATTTTTCCCACATAAGCTTATGTAACTAAAAGTGATTGTTTATCCCATACATTAGCCCACACACATAATAATATGTGAGCATATAAGTTATTTTAAATTACAACAACCTGGACGAACATCATGAACATAAATATTTTTAATATTTATCAGATATTTGGTCAAAAAAATGTTCGTATCAAACTAAAAATATTACGATTGAACTCTCTAAATGTTATGAAACCTTCATATATATTATATACATTTAAAAGGGAAGTCACATTTTAAATAGTAGAAATTGATATAAAAGAAGACGCTTGTGAAGTAAAAGAAAACACCTTAATTCCCTCATGGAAGAACTCTTTGTGTGATCCACAAATTGTTCTTCCGTGTCTGGGTGTCATGTGTATGTAAACTTGTATGTTTGTAAACACACTCACGACACAGGAGGAAATCCTATTTTGGGACAATATTAAAAAAATATAACATTTTTTACCAGCTTCAAAAAAATGGAGGAGGTTCTACATATGTTCGGATGATTGCTTTTTCTGTGTGTTCAGCAATTGTTCCGCCAAATGTGTGCGGAGTTTTCAAAATTATTTTTGTTATGTGTAAACTACACAACATAGTCCAATAGTGTTTATTGTTTATTATACACAACATTGTTTATCATAAATGCTTTTTTTTAAGGGGAAAATCATCAAATGACTTCTCCCGCGAGGCTAGAGGGAGTGTCAGACTTTTACTGACTAAAAACCACCTCGTTTCTACTCCTGCACTTGAAGATGGAGCCCCGGCAGCCCGGTAAGTCCTCCGCGACTAAATAGTCCTCTGCGGCTGTTATCATAAATGCTTACGCTGATTCTAGTTTAAAACTCTAGATATATCCACGGCAATAGTTATTTTAGTCTAAATAGAGTAATCTACAGAGCATATGAGCATGCAACATCCGTTTCCTAGTCATCAATCGGTGTGAAATTCAACCATTATTTTAACGGCTCTGTGACCGTGGTTAAACCGTCAGTTATGGCTGACACACTTATTGTAGGTTAAAATAACTGCGACGGTTTTCTCATAGGAAGTAGTCTTTGACCATGTTTCGGTTATTATGAGAATTGCTCGTTACATGTCGGTTATGGAGTTAAAGTTGTAGTCATCTGGGTGAGACCACCGAAGTGGCTTTGGAAGTGTAACGTTAAGATTGGTTGTGTAGATGACACTGATATGACTAGTCTGACTATGTAATGTGATCACACAAGTGTGTAGTAGTTGGTAGTTGTGTTATTAGTTTTTGTAAGCGAGCGAGCTTCTCATAAAAGATTGGAAAAAAAATCCTGACGCCAATTTTGGAAGTCAAATCGTATTGGACCACTAGGCTAATATATGTAGGTGGATGTCACTGGCTTTGGTCATGTTGAGACTATTCTAGAAAATAACTTTTGTCCACTCTAGTGGATACCCTGCAAGGTGTCTAGTACAAAGAGAACTGCTATTAATGTAAGCTTAACTTTTTTAGAAATACAATCGATAAAAGTATTAACATTAATTAGGACCATGCCTACATGGGTCATGGTAAAATATAATAAATCTTAGATAAGCCAAGTTCACATGGCAATTCCTCACGACCACAAAACAATTTTTAATCAAAAACATCGATGCACTTGATCGCATCAATCCACAAAGAGAATGGAAACAATAACAAAACATTACCATAGATTAACATACATTATCTCAGTTCGTTATCATTATTAATTAAACGTGGTGTCATTAGCCGGATAGTTGCTGAATCGGTTCAATCGATTTGAATATTAAAACATTGATTCATTGGACTGTATAATCACACTACAGTCCGCCTATTGTCTCACTTCCGCCCGCTAAAGCGCCTATTAACTGCCAAATCGATTGATTAATTCAACATTTTAATTGCGTATCGATAGACCGTACATTTTTGGTGACGGTTTATTGTTATTTGTTTTGAATTTTATTGAAAAGTAATTGTCTTTTGTAATTTGGTTTGTTTTGTACAAAAATGGGTTCTTTTTATTTGTCGGTGCAACGCTTTGCGTCAGTATTTTTAAATGATTAATTCTTTGAAATATACACTTGGCCTACCACCATCTTTCAAGAATTTTACGACCACACGAGATAAGACTTACGGATTCACAAAGTATTGTTGACAAACGTTGCTAAACCTAAAGCTTCGAATAAAGCATAGGTACTGGGGCTTTCAGTTTTTAATTTTAACCCGTTGATATCCATCCCCTAAATTTGGTCATAC